AGGCTTCCGCCAGCCCGATCGATGAGCTATCCCAAGCGCCATTGGGGCGAGGATGGCTACTCCGCCGAGAACAAGTGCACAGGCAATGGCAGCTGTGTAGCTCAATGGGGCGAGGATGGCTATGGATGCTGCGCACAGACATACAGCTCTACAGACGCGTGCGCGCTGCGCGACCTGGTCTGCTGCCGGAAAAGGCGTCTTTGTGGAAGGAGAGAACAGCACACAGGACAGCAGCAACAATGAGAACACAGAAGAGGGGCGGACGAGGCGAGAAGAAAGAACGACGCTCGCAGCGATGGCCGCGTTCACGCTAAGAGCGTAGCGTACTGGAGCGACCTGCGAGCTGTGACTCGAAGCGTCCAAAATCCCATGAGCGCTGCCTGAAGCGTATGGAGCCAAGGCAAAATGTCCGAAGAAGAGCGTCGCCGAGAGGGCCCAGATGCTGTCGCTTGAGGTGCTCTCGCTGAGAGAGCGAAGAATGGGAGAAAGTGATAGCAAAAGAAGAGCCAAGACCACTCGAGCTACTCCCCGAGCACCGCTGCCCTTGATACTTGCAGGTGGAGAAGTCACTTGCGCGTGCGGCATTGATGAAGGCTCTGCGTCGGGATTTGATGGACTGTGTGATGCTAAATGAGGTGCCCGTCGCATCAGGCGATTCTGCGCTGGGCTTGCGAGCATGACGAAAAGAGCTGTGCCCGACAGAAGCAATGGGCCGATGTGACCGAGTAGCAGATGTGCATACAAGCCCACGAAAATCAGAATCGTTGCCAGCTGCTGAGTGATCGGCAGGGCATCCACCACGAGAGAGCGTAACTTGATGTGCCGCGGAGCTGAAGAGATGCACGGTGTTAACACCTGTCATGGGTCTCTATGCGCTAAAAGCACTACACTCACCCTGCCGTCGTAAGCCCGACAGAAAGCTGGATGGCACGTAAGAGTCGGGAAAGGGCTGTCTCTTCCAAAGCACCTTCTCCCATTGGTCCACTTCCACGCTTCCCACATCGTTCCGGCTGGCGGTTTGTGTGATGGATGCGTTCGCAATATTCGACATCCCAAGGATGTTTTGTGGGAGCTTTCGACACCACGTATTCGTCAACAGCTGGCTTGACTAGGCGCTGATACAGGTCTTTGCAGGAGGAACGGCTGCGGCGACAGGATCACCCTCTTCTCGTGCGCTGGCCTGGCTGCTTTGTGTGGTGCTGTAGGCATGCAGCGGTAGATAAGAGGCAGGGTTGAGTCATACCCGAATCATTTTAGCAGCTCAGGATGCCAGCACCAGTCCTGTCTTATGGATCAGGAGAGAAGAAGAGTCGTGAGTGTGAGTGCCTGACACCCGCA